CCCCCAAATTTATTTTTGGAATTGGAGCCCAAAACGAACTGCATTTTCCAGATGGGGTCTACAATGATTTGTCCCGGGGGGGGGGGAGGGGGATGTCTCTCTTCGGGAGTATATACCTCTCCTAATACAAAGGGTTTTTGCTCGCTTTAGAACCGCAGCTTGGCTTTGCCCTTTATTAAGCTTGTGATTACCAAAACCCCAGACCTTCTCCACCTTTGCTCCCCCCGATCCTTTTCCCCATTCCCCCCCCCAATCCTTCTCCACCGGGACCCCCCCCCCCCAGATCCTTCTCCCCCCTTTGCCCCCCCCAGACCCTTTTCCCACCATTGACCCCCAATTTTCCCACCTGGCCCCCCCCCAATCCTTTCCACCATTGACCCCCCAATCCTTCCCCACCATTGACCCCCCCTACCTTCTCCACCTTTCCCCCCCCAACCTTTCCCACCATTGACCCTCCCAGATCCTTCTCCTCATTGAACTTCCACTACAGATCCTTCTCCACCACTGAACCCCCCCGCAGATCCTTCCTCCACCACTGACCCCCCCAGATCCGTTCTCCACCATTGACACCCCCATATCCTTCTCACCACTGACCCCCCCAGATCTTCTCCTACCACTGATACCCAACCCAAGATCCTTCTCCCACCAGTGACCCCCCCCCAGATATTCTTCTCCACCACTGATCCACCCCAGATCCTTCTCCACCATTAACCCCCCGAGATCCTTCTAAATCATTGACCCCCCCCTGTTGTACCCCCCTAGTATGTATGATGCATGCATATTATTAGCCCCCCAAGTGCAGAGCCTTAAATTTATCACCATTAGCCCTCATTGGCCCATAGGTCCCCAATTACACAGAGCATTGAGGTCGGCCTTGTAAGTTGGAGAGACATCCTTAATGACGTTATTCCCCACGCACAGCTTGGTGTCACATCTGCCAAAGACTGGGAATGGGATTTATAATCTCCACACCCCATATTGTTTATAATTATATTAAATATAGATCTGAATCCATAAGGAGAGGCCTTCTATAGATTTTAGTTCCTACAGGGGAGTCCTCCTATAAATCTAATGTCCTATTACAGGGAAGAGATCTTCTGTAATCTAAGTCCATAAAGGGGGGACTCTCCTATAGATATGAGTCTGTACAGAGGAAACCTCTATATCTCTGAAAAATACATCTGACCACTATACGGGTGCAGTACTGCTAATAGGATCTGATCCACACATGGGGGTCTCCTATAGATCTGGATTCCACACAGGGGGGCCTCTTATAGATCCTGGATCCACACAAGGGGGGGCCTCCTATAGATCTGGATACCACACAGGAGGCCTCCTATAGATCTGGATCCACACAGGGGGGCCTCCTATTATGATCTGGATCCAAACAGGAGGTCCTCCTATAGCTCTAAGTTTATACCAGAGAGGCCTCCTATAGATCTGAGTCTTTACAGAAGTCTCCAAAGATCTGAACCTATACAAAAAAAGGACTTCTATAGAACTGAGTACATACAAGATAGGTGTCCTATAGATCTGGGTTCATACAGGGGGACCTCCTATAGATCTGGGGCATACAAGGGGTGCCCCATTAACCACAGCATCCCTAACTTGCTCCCATCGACCCGCAGCACCCATAATATTCCCCCTTCACTAATAATATCCCATAACATGATCCATAAATCTAAACAGAATACCCATCACATGACCCAACCACCTACATTACCTCTCAAGGACCCCCAAACCAAGCACCCATACAAAAAAACCCCACACAAAACCATACACATCACATGACCCCGCATGCACCTAGAAATATCCCCTGTATCAATGATCCCCCCAAGCCATACAGAACAATGACATCACCAACACCCGAAAGCCTTCCAATTATCGGTGTGGGAGGGGGGGGGTACCTTGTATTGGTGGTGCCAGCTGGAGGCAGGCACAGCAGAGTGAGGAGGCAGGCAGAGCTCAGCATAGTGACAACCTGACAGTCAGAGGTGACAATGACAGGAGACTGAGGGATATCTGTATATACAGAGCTTACCTGTATACTGCGTCATCACAAATGCCCCGCCTCTTGCGCAACCGTGACAGTAATCTCTATGTATAGGTCTCCTAAAGGGTGATAATAATATCATTTTTGCATACATTTTAGTTTTTACAGACTGTAGGTGCAGCTTTTCATTTCCATGTTTTATAGCCGTCCATAAATATTATTGTTGATGATTCCATCTCCAGCCTCTCCAGCGTCTCCAGTGGTTTATTTGTCCAGCGTCTCCAGGTTGTCCAGCTTCTCCAGGTTGTCCAGCGTCTCCAGGTTGTCCCATTGGTGTCCATTTACCACTTCCCTACCACGCCAATTCTGACATTTCTCTCCTATTGTCAAAAATCATCATTTTTTTTTTGTCTGAAAATTGAGAACACCCAAACACTGTACCCACATTCAGTGGGTATAAAATGTCTATACACCCCTCTTAAAATGTTAGGTTTCTGTGATGTAAAAAAAGGAGACAAAGATAAATCATTTCAAAACCCCGCATTCACTATATCCGCTCTCTCCCCGGACCCCGCATTCACTATATCCAGTCTCCCCGGACCCCGCATTCACTATAATCCGCTCTCCCGGACCCCGCATTCACTATATCCGCTCTCCCAGGACCCCGCATTCACTATTATCCGCTCTCCCCGGACCCCGCATTCACTATATCCGCTCTCCCCGACCCCGCATTCACTATATCCGCTCTCCCCGGACCCCGCATTCACTATATCCGCTCTCCCCGGACCCCGCATTCACTATATCCCGCTCTCCCCGCACCCGCATTCACTATATCCGCTCTCCCGGACCCCGCATTCACTATATCCGCTCTCCCCGGACCCCCATTCACTATATCCAGTCTCCCCGGACCCCGCATTCACTATATCCCTCTCCCCGGACCCCGCATTCACTATATCCGCTCTCCCAGAACCCCGCATTCACTATATCCGCTCTCCCCGGACCCCGCATTCACTATATCCGCTCTCCCGGACCCCGCATTCACTATATCCGCTCTCCCCGGACCCCGCATTCACTATATCGCTCTCCCCGGACCCCGCATTCACTATATCCGCTCTCCCCCCCGGACCCCGCATTCACATATATCCGCTCTCCCCGGAACCCCGCATTCACTATATCCGCTCTCCCCGGACCCCGCATTCACTATATCCGCTCTCCCGGACCCCGCATTCATCTATATCCGCTCTCCCGGACCCCGCATTCACTATATCCGCTCTCCCCGGACCCCGCATTCACTATATCCGCTCTCCCGGACCCCGCATTCACTATATCCCCTCTCCCCGGACCCGCATTCACTATATCCGCTCTCTCCCGGACCCCGCATTCACTATATCCGCTCTCCCCGGACCCCACGTTCACTATATCCGCTCTCCCCGGACCCCCGCATTCACTATATCCAGTCTTCCCAGACCCCGCATTCACTATATCCGCTCTCCCCCGCACCCCGCATCTCACTATATCCGCTCTCCCCGGACCCCGCATTCACTATATATCCAGTCTCCCCAGACCCCGCATTCACTATATCCGCTATCCCCGGACCCCACATGCACTATATCCAGTCTCCCCCCCGCATTCACTATATCTGCTCTCTCCCCGGACCCCACATTCACTATATCCGCTCTCCCCGGACCCCGCATTCACTATATCCGCTCTCCCCGGACCCCGCATTCACTATATCTGCTCTCCCCAGACCCCGCATTCACTATATCCGCTCTCACCCGGACCCCGCATTCACTATATCCGCTCTCCCCGGACCCCGCATTCACTATATCCCGCTCTCCCCAGACCCCGCATTCTATATCCGCTCTCCCCGGACCCCGCATTCACTATATCCCCTCTCCCTGGACCCCGCATTCGCTATATCCGCTCTCCCGGACCCCGCATTCACTATATCCTGTCTCCTGGACCCCGCATTCACTATATCCGCTCTCCCGGACCCCGCATTTCACTATATTCTATACACTATGACTTCTCCTCCTGGCTACCCTTCTTCCTCTCCTCTGAGCTACCCACCATCATCCTTGGGAATTTCAACATCCCTGTCAACATCGACAACCCGGCTACATCCCATCTCCTCCACTTAACCTCCTCCTTTTACCTCACTCCTTAACACTTGCACAGTGCATACAATCCACCACCCACTCCAACGGTAATATCCTGGACCTCGTCTTCTCCCATCTCTGCGCTCCCCACAACCTCACTAACACCCCCTTCCCTCTCTCTGACCACAACCTGATCACCTTCTCTATCTCCTCGTCCTCCAACACCTACCCCTCCAAATGTCACACTACTACCAGCCGTAACCTCCGCAACCTTAACCCTGCCTCCCTCCACTCTGCAGCTGATCAACTCCATAACAGCATCCTCCCCCTGTCCTGCCCCAACCGGGCTGTTTCTGCCTATAACAACATGCTGTCTACCATCCTTGACTCACTAGCGCCTTTAACCACACGAAAACATCAGACCCCAACCGCTCCAGCCCTGGCAGACTGATCACACCAAAACCCTCAAACGACACAGTCGTGCCCGTGGAGCGACTATGGCGCAAAACCAAATCCCAACAAGCCTTCACCCGCTACAAATCTGCCTTCCACACCTACACCTCCTCCCTCCACGCAGCCAAACAGGCCTACTTCTTGACCCTCATCAAGGCCCTCTCCTCCAATCCTCGCCGACTCTTCTCCACCTTCAACTCTCTACTCTCTCCACCCCCACCTCCACCCAGCACCTCACTCACCACCCTTGAGATTGCCAATCACTTCAAAAACAAGATTGACACAATTAGCAAGGACATCGCCGCTGCTCAAACTCCTCCAACCCCATCCCCTCTCACACAGTTACCCTCTCATCGCCCCTCTCCCTCGACCTCACCACTGCTCTGACCTCCACCCCACCTAACATTCCTCACACTGAAGCCCCCTCAGCACTCCACACCTTTGACCTTACTACCATCAAGGAGGTCACCAAGATCTTCTCTGATGCCCACCTCACCACCTGCCCCCTCGACCCTATCCCCTCACAACTCCTACGACCTCCCTCCCCCTCCATCCTACGCTCCCTCACCCACATCTTTAATCTCTCCCTCTCTTTCCGGCACATTCCCCTCCCCTCTGAAGCATGCACACGTCACCCCCATACTTAAAGAGCCCTCCCTGGACCCCAATGACCCGAACAACCTCAGACCCATCTCCCTGTTCCCATTCTCATCCAAACTCCTCGAGCGCTTAGTCTACACCCACCTATGCTCTCACCTCAACTACAACAACCTCCTCGATCCCCTACAGTCCGGCTTCCGTCCCCTACACTCCACCGAAACCACCCTACTCAAACTCTCCAACGACCTGCTAACCACCAAAGCTAATGGCCACTATTCAGTGCTCCTACTCCTTGATCCTTCAGCGTTACCTATAACGCTACCACCTCCCCCTCACTCCCCCTCTATGTTGGGGTCCCTCAAGGCTCTGTCCTCGGGCCCCTTCTCTTCTCCATCTACACCTCCTCCCTTGGCCAACTCATACACTCTCACGGCTTCAACTACCACCTCTATGCCGACGACAAACAAATCTATCTCTCAACCCCTCGCCTCACCCCACAATCTCTGCCCGAACCACCAGCCTACTGAATGACCTATCAGATTGGATGTCTCTCCACTTCCTTAAACTGAACCTCTCCAAAACCGAGCTCCTAGTCTTCCCCCAGCCCGCACACCACGCCCCACTGACTTCTCCAGCATGTCCAACAATACCACCATCAGGCCTGCCCCGCAGGCCAGAGTACTTGGGGTCATTCTAGACTCCAATTTATCCTTCCAGCCCCAAGTCTAATCATTAACAAAACTCGTGCAGACTCCACCTCCGCAACATGCAGACATCCACCTCCGCAACATCGCCAAAATCCCGCACGTTCCTAACCCCAGAAACCACTAAAACAGCTCATCCACTCCTCATCATATCACGACTCGACTACTGCAACTCCCTCCTCACTAGCCTGCCTCGCGCTGGCTATCCCCGCTTCAGTCCATCCTGAATACGGCTGCCAGACTCATTTCACCTTTCCAACCGCTCCATCTCCGCCACCCCTCTCTGCCAATCCCTCCACTGGCTCCACTCAGTGTCCTCCACCCCCCCTCTGCCAATCCCCTCCACTGGCCTCCATTCAGTGTCCTCCACCCCCCTCTGCCAATATCTCCACTGGCTTCCGATTGCGCAACGGATCAAATTAAAAATCCTAACACTGACGTACAAAGCTGTTCCACCATACTGCCCCGAACTACATCACCGACCTAATATCCAAGTACACACTTCAGTACGCACACTCCGCTCCTCACAAGACCTCCTTCTCTCTAGTTCCCTGGTCTCCTCCTCCATGCCCGCCTCCAGGACTTCTCCAGGGTGTCACCCATCCCTCTGGAACTCCTGCCCCAACCCATCAGATTATCACCTACTCTCCTCTCCTTTAGGCGCACCCTGAAAACCCATCTCTTCAGGGAAGCCTACCCCACCCCCTGCTAATTGCCGACCTCCTCCACTCCTCCTACCACTCCATCCCCCACACAGCTATCTCCTCCTGTGCCACCATCCCCTCCTCCCTAGATTGTAAGCTCCAAGGAGCAGGGTCCTCAATCCCTCATGTTTTGCATTGTATTGTTATTGTTCTGTCACATGTTCTGTCCCCCTTTGTAATGTACAGCGCTGAGCCAACTATCGGCGCTTTATTAATACTGTATAATAATAATAATAATATATTCGCTCTCCCCGGACCCCACATTCACTAAATCCGCTCTCTGTGGTCAGATGCATTGCTTTGACCAATCACAATGTGCTGTCAGGGCACAGCGAATTGTGGGGTGCGGTGGGTGAACAGCCGGCCGAACACCCGTACCATTTGTGTGTTTATCAAAACACACGAACGGCCCATATTCGAGTCGAACTTAGGTTTGATTCGAACATGTAGCCCAATACTAGCCACTAGGATCTCTTTTACATTACAGAGTATTGACTGCTGAAAAAAAAGATACCGGGATGATGACTGTAGCTTCTGGCATCATCCCGGTATCTCCACTCAATGTTCAGGGTGTCTTATTATGTCCTACAAGAAGAGGTTAAATGTTTAATATGATGTGTATTATGTTTATATTATTTGTATCACTCCTCAAATACACTGTATTGCAAAAGTATTGTCCCCGCCCTCCAAATCATGTGATCCAGGTGTTCCAATCCCCTCCATATCGTGATTCAGGTGTTCCAATCCCCTCCATATCACGTGATTCAGGTGTTCCAATCCCTCCATATCACGTGATTCAGGGTGTTCCAATCCCTCCATATCATGTGATTCAGGTGTTCCAATCCCCTCCATATCATGTGATTCAGGTGTTCCAATCCCCTCCATGGACACAGGTGTATACAATCAAGCCCCTAGGCATGCAGACGGCTTCTACAAACATTGGTGAAAGAATGGGTCGCTCTCAGGAGCTCGTGACTCCAAGCGTGGTCCCGTGATAGGTGGCCACCTGGGCAATAAGTCCATCCGTGACATTTCCTGGCTACTAAATATTCCGCACTCAACTGTTAGTGGGATTATAACAAAGTGGAAGCCACTGGGAACAACACCACTCAGCCACCAAGTGGTAGGCCATGTGACATGACAGGGCGGGGTCAGCGCATGCTGAAGCACACAGTGCGCAGAAGTCACCAACTGTCTGCAGACTCATTAGCTAAAGACCTCCAAACTTGGTGTGGCCTTCAGATGAGCCCAACAACAGAGCGTAGAGAGCTTCATGGAATGGGTTTCCGTGGCCGAGCAGCTGCATCCAAGCCTTATATCACCAAGTGCAATGCAAAGCATCAGATGCTGTGGTGTAAAGCATGCCGCCACTGGACTCTAGAGCAGTGGAGACATGTTCTCTGGAGTGACCAATCATGCTTCCCTGTCTGGCAATCTGTTGGACGTGTCTGGGTTTGGTGGTCGCCAGGAGAAAGGTACTTGCCTAACTGCATTGTGCCAAGTGTAAAGTTTGGTGGAGGGGGGATTATGGTGTGGGGTTGTTTTTCAGGGGTTGGGCTTGGCCCCCTAGTTCCAGTGAATGGAACTATTAAGGCAACATTTGTGGACAATTTCATGCTCCCAACTTTGTGGGAAGAGTTTGGGGATGGCCCCTTCCTGTTCCAACATGACTGTGTACCAGTGCACAAAGCAAGGTCCATAAAGACATGGAGAGCCATTTTGGGGTGGAGGAACTTGACTGTCCTGCACAGAGTCCTGACCTCAACCCCATAGAACACCTTGGATGAATTAGAGCGGAGACTGCGAGCCAGGCCTCCTCCCCCGACATCATAGTCATGCCTGACACTGACAAATGTGCTTCTGGAAGAATGGTCCAACCTTCCCATAGACACCCTCCTAAACCTTGTGGACGGCCTCCCAGAAGTGTTGAAGCTGTTTATAGCTGCAAAGGGCGGGGCCAACTAATATTGAACCCTACGGACTAAGACTGGGGGCCATTAAAGTCGTGTGCGTGGAAAGGGCGGGGCCAACTCAATTTATTGAACCCTACGGACTAAGACTGGGGGCCATTAAAGGTCATGTGTGTTGGAAAGGCGGGGCCAACTCAATATTGAACCCTACGGACTATGACTGGGGGGCCATTAAAAGGTCATGATGCGTGGATAGGCCAGGCCCTGATATTTTGGGCAATATAGTGTGTGTGTATAGTTATTTAAATATCTGTATACATAGGAGAGATGGTCTGGAGCAGATACTTGGTGTTGAGGACCAGGAATACCTTGATCATACATTGGAAAAGGTTGATGGGGGTCACCCTGGACATGGACCTCCATATGTATTCTGCTACATACTGCCCGTCCATCATTGGAACACTAAGATAAGACTCTTTAATTGTGTGAGGAAAAAACAAACAACATAAATATCTGATGAGTACTGTCATGGTATGGGAGCCTGCCAATTATTAATCCCCTTATTAATGCCTTGTATCACATGCCCTCAGAGTCCTAGCCATAACTGTATTGTTCCAATTGTCCCCTGTGTCACTATGCCAAATGGCCTAAGGTTTAAATTACTCTGGGCCCCCTTCGGCTCCCGGCCAGCTGGCTGGGAGCATCTCTGCACACCTCCCAACTTGCTTTTCATCTATGCAGACATCATCTCTGCCTCCCAGGATGTCCCTGTAACCAGTCCTGATTCTCCCTGGGTCTAGTGTTCCCTTCCCCCCTCCCCGGTGCCAAAGGCGACCAGGGAGCGTCCTGCAGCAG